ATATAGCATAATACCTTTGCAAATCACGTAATTGAATACAGTACTAACGGTCCACTAGAATGCCAAGTACTTTTTTTGACAGCGATTAAGCTTTGACTTACTGGTCCATTTTTAGATAATTTTACCACCCAAGTGATCATCTCAATGAAGTAATTTTAACAAGTCTAAAAAATCACCAAACAGAATCCAGATTGTGTGTTATCGTTATTTTAGATGTTTTAGTTTCAGATGTTTTAGAAGTGGTACAGTACATTAGATTTTAACAATTTTGGGATTTTTTTATCAAGATGATAATAAAATTTTCCGGATTACTGGTTTTCGTACACTAGCTCCGCAGTTGATCAGAAATTCCTGGTGATCTTGTCATGGGAGTGCACAATATTCCATAAATAGTTTATTGGCTTTTTTAATAAAATACTGTATTAAGTACAGTATATATATCGAAATTTCGTATAAAATAATAAAGATCCTTTATTTTTTATGTATTTCCTAAGTACATTGTATTGTACGTCTAAATAATTTCTTAAAAAAGTCTTCTCTGATTAAGAAACTTTTTTGAATAAAATTAATAAAATTAGAATTAATAAACGATAATCTTTAATGCGATCTATAAACTTTATTTATATAAATATAATATAAATACTATTTTTCATAAATAATTAAAACTTAGCATCAACTTAGCATCATTAAAAAAAAATGCAAACTGAACAAAAAAATCAAAACTTGGCATCTTTTATCGTCGTATTGGGATTCCCTCCTATAATATTATATCATATTAATAAACGTAAATCTCAAAGTTTTTTCTTATTCTCTTGTCCTTTTTCATTTGATTCAAGAATTAACGTTTTTTGTTTTTTTTTGTTTTTTTTTTTTAAAAAAATAAAGTCGCTTTCAATAAAGAATGATGATTTATATTCAGAAAAAGAACAAAGTATTGCTAAAATTAAATCTTTATCGGAAGAAGTGAACGAATGGAAGAGTAAATATGAGAAGGTGAAAACAGAATTGAGAAATTTGAAAGGTAAGAACACAAATTCTATGTAATAACAAGCATATATTTTTTTTATATAAGAAATATTTAATAAAATATGTACTTTATATTATATAATAGCGACATCATCATTCTTCAAAGAAACGCCCAAAATCGATATTGTGAATGATAACTCTTTATCTCCGACGCCAGATGGTGCGATTGATGAATCCAAAATTGTTGCTTATCAAGTAGCAATCGATGACTTATTAAGGGCTGGACGGTATGCCATTTATGTAACAGGTTTATAATTAAGGTTTTCAGAATTTATATTAATTGATAATATGGTTTTACTCTTTCTTAATAGATCTGATGTCTCATCTAATGTTCTTGTTGCTATGAAGTCAATTGTCATCGCTTGTAAAGGTATTACCGAAGAAGTTGATGCATATGAACAACGTAAAAATTCATCAATGAAAGCAGAAGATAAAGAAAAATTAAATACTCTAAAAAGTAAATTTTCAGCTACGCTCCAACAACTTATGACCGCAGCAAAAAATCACGCAACTGGATATGGTGTATCACCTGTTAGCTTATTAGACGCAGCAGCGAGTCATTTGAATGCATCAGTTGTAGAGATGGTTAAACATGTAAAACTTCGGCGAACTAGGGGACAAGACGCAAATAAGCCTAGTTCGGAGCACCCCCCTTTACCATCAAGTGAAAATATGTCTAATGAATCACCTAGCCAGGATGATTTGAATTCATCAAATACAGGACCTAAATCTGATTTAAATGTAGAAAAACCAAATGGATACGCTATTGGTGTAGATGAATTAAAAGTAAGATAATATACAATTTATATAATTATTAGTATCTATGTAATATTAGTATCGTTTTTTTTTATGATGATTAACCAAAAAAAATATGTTTATAAATAGGATTTTCTTGAACGTCAAACAGAATCTATAGTTCAATCAATTCAGACACTTCTAACTGCCATCAGAAGTGGATCATTTGGTAAAGAACTCACAGACAACATAAACACTATCACGACGATTGTTCTTAACGTCATTGCGGTGTGCCGCGACTCTTTTAGATCTAATAACATTCCTCAAAGTGTACGTGGTAATGTTATATTAAAAGAATTAGAAGAAAGTATTGATAAATTAGATGAAATGCGAGAATCAATAACGGATAATAGAGATGACTTTCTTAATAACCGGGCAGCAAAACAACGATTGGCTAGTGCCTCGTTTGAAATTGCTAAATTTACTAAAGAATTAGTAGGGTTATTCGAATAGTCAAAAAAAAAATTTTTTATTAAACATTAATTGAATTCATCGTAGACTAGAAAAAAAAATAATTTATACTGTTATAACATTTTCACAACCAAATTTTGCGAGAATATTTTTGCTGTCTACTAAGACTAATTATTCTAAGAAATCATTATTTAATTTAAAAATATCTATTGCCTACAATAAAAAAAAAAAAAAACAATTTTTCACTTGTATCTTTTATGTACAAAAAAGGATAAAAAGCTCTAACTAGTTAAATCTTTGTGGTATAGAGGTTTTACTCGTTTTACAATGAATGTCCAATAATAAATACTGTAATCTATAAGATAAATAACAACTTGTCAGATGACAAAAGTAAAAGTCATTTATTTTTTGACTAATTTATATAAATTAGAAAACCGGCAACATTTTGTGAATTTTGTGAGCTGGAGCCCTAATTATTAGGTATTACACTTTAGGATAAAATATTGGATTAAATATATATATATTAATAATATTATTATTATTATTATATACCGATCCATACGTATCATTCTCTAGAGAAAGCCTTTTTGGCATCAATTTGTCACTCTACATCTGACACAAAAGCCAGTTTTATAATTTAATATAACTGAAGAAATAATTATGTTTAAGATTTGTAACAGCATCACGAAACCTTGAGATTATAATTATCATTAGTAAGTTGATAAAAAGTGTAAAGTTTCATTTTATAAAATAATTTATCACATGTCAGACTTAATTAAAAAATTGATTTGTGTTTAATACTATTGTTATTAATTAATTAACATTTGCAACAAGCTTGTTTCTTTTCTGTTTCATTTTTTCTGTGATTAAATTTTTCATTTTCTTCTAGCTTAACTAAAAAAAGAATATAAGGTTTTACTTATTAGTATGATTGTTTAAGGTTTTTCTTGAATTTATGGCGTAAGTACGTATAACGGAAAGAGTATGTCAAATAGTATTGCGGTAGTTTCGAAAGTACGCGTAGTTAACGAAGTTTATAATATTTAGCTTTGAAAGAAAATCTCTATTTTAATGGTTAGAAATATTAATATTTCGCGCCCAAAATTCTCGTTAAAAAACTTGTCGATAATTGAAATAACTTCATTTACAGCTTCGACATTAACTGACCCTTTGAAATCAACTTTAGCTCCTGCGAAACCATGGTGCATATCAAATTTACGTTGAATGATTTACAAGCAAATATATAGTTTATATACTATGTATATAGTAAGAACTGGATTTTAACATATTAGCTTTACTAATAATTAAAATACATATATATAATAAGTCTCAGGAATATTACTCCTGACTGCAAAGTTACATAAAATTTTAAATATACGGATGATTTGCACCATAGTACATCTGTACATTATATAGCATAGATATAGCATAATACCTTTGCAAATCACGTAATTGAATACAGTACTAACGGTCCACTAGAATGCCAAGTACTTTTTTT